AGAGGCGAGGTACCTTGTTGAAGTGCCCGTTCCTGGGCCCCCGACCGCATGAAGCGTCCAAATGCGCATCCCAACCAGCCACAGCCACGCACGCCGGAACACTGCCCCGGACACCGCCGCCCAGGACACCGCCGCGCCGGGCGGCAGGATGTCGCAGTCGCGGGCACGACCGCCGCCCGCGGCCTCGGGCCCTGGTCACCAGCCCCCATCTCGCCGGGGATTAGAATTGCTTCTCTGTGAAGGGGCTTCTTTTCGCATTCTCCTTCCCATCGCCTTGTCCACTCCAATCCGCTCTTTCCGAGAACGTCCTGCTCCTCGCCCCTAGCCTCCCGTCAGAGTTCCTACCCCTTAGCCCACGGCCGACCGCCTGGGCCGCTTCTCCCGACCACCCCTGCCGGGGCTGCCTTTCGCCGGAGGTCTCCGACGCCGCGGAGCTTCAGCCCCGGCTCCCTGCTGCCGTCCGAGAAGCCCGGCCCTCAGTACTCCACAGTCAACCTTTCCCTTTCCCAACCTCCTCTCGGCTCTGGCTCCGAGGCCCTGAGGGTACTCACCATTCCGGCGGTTGCTACCGTCACTGCTCTGGTTGCTAGGGCCCGCCGGGGTCAGTGCGCGTGCGCACTACTCGCAGCTCGCCGCGGAGGCCGTCCCGGGCGGTGGTTACTTCTCTCCGCCTTCGGGGTGGCGCGAGCGGGGCATTGTGGGACGGCGGGGCGGCGCCGCGGTCCAGCCCACCCGCTGGCTCCTGCCAGTGGCTGCGGCTCCTGCGGCGTCGCTGGGCCTCCGGAGCTGAGCGCGCGCGGTGGTCGAGGATGTGCCTTTCCCCATCAAAGACAGTCTCCTCCGGAGTGCCATACCTGCCTACAGTCGAAACTGTAAAGCCTCTTCCAACAATTTTCCTGCTCCCTTCCCTACCAGGTGGCCTTCCCGGGCTGGGAGGATAAGCCGTTCATTGCCCCGCTGAGAGTTCCCAGAGCTAAAGTCCACCGAACGCCTCATGTTGCTTCAACTCGACGCCCCAGGGAGCCAGAGGCGCCAAAAGCTCGGTGCCACACTTAAAATATCACAAATTTTTGGTTTGACATCATCGAAGTGTCTTTCCCCCCATCTACCACATTAGTTAAAAATATTTTTAAAAGCCGGGCTTGGTGGCTCAGCCTGTAATCCCGCGCCTTTGGGAGGCTGAGGTGAGTGGATTGCCTGAGCCCGCGGGTTCGAGACCCGCCTGGGCAGCGAGACCTCATCTCTACAGTAAATCAAAAAATCAGCCGGGTGTGTTAGCGCGCGCCTGTAATTCCGGCTACTCGGAAGGCTGAGGCGGAAGGATCGCCGGAGCCCGGCAGGGGGAGGCTGCGGTGGCCGGGGGCGGCCATTGCACTCCAGTCTGGGCGACAGAGTGAGACTCCAACTCAAAAAAAAAAAAAATTTTTTTTTTAAGTTGCTAGGGGTGTGGAGAAATAGGGATGCACAAATACACCCCTGTTTACAATTGATATAGCATTTCTGGAGGGCTGTTGGCAATATGCACTAAAAGCTTCAAAAACTTGTGCTCCCTTTGTGACCCAGCAGTTCCTCTTCTAGGACTTTATCCTGAAGAAGTAATCAGAGAAGAGCAGAGAGATAGATATGTGTTCAAAACTTTAACAGCAAAAATAAAATCACCCCAAATGTCAACAAGAGAACTGGTAAGTAGTATTGATCATTCAATGAAATAATATACTTCTGAGGCAGGATAGCTAGCACAGGTTAGACACAGATAAATTTCCCGTAGGCAGGTTTTAGGAAGTGTTCAGACATTTTTAAAATTACATTTTACTGCAGGCCAAGCTGCAGCCCATCCTATCCCGTCAGCCTACCCTACGCCATCTGAATAGGACAGTCTGACCTTTCAATTCATGGTTTAGCATAATAATCTCTAAGAGCCGGCTCAGTGGCTCAGCCTGTAATCCCGCGCTTTTGGGAGGCAGAGGTGAGTGGATTGCCTGAGCCCGCGGGTTCGAGACCCGCCTGGGCAGCGAGACCTCATCTCTACCATAAATCAAAAAATCAACCGGGCGTGGTAGCATATGTCTGTAATTCCGGCTACTTGGAAGGCTGAGGCGGTAGGATCGCCAGAGCCCAGCAGGTTGAGGCTGCGGTGGCCGGGAGCGTGCCACTGCACTCCAGTCTGGGCGACAGAGTGAGACTCCAACTCAAAAACAAAACAAAACAAAAAAATAATCTCTAAGAATCATTCAGGTTCCATGTGGAAGGCAGAAGACTGAATACCACCCCTTAAGTGACCAAAGCCATAGAAATGATAATAACACCACCTTGTAGTTCAGGAACTTGTGAACTGGAAATGTCTGGCAGGTCTGGTCAGGAAAAGACCACCCTCTCTTCTCCCCTCCCATCAAGAGTCCACAGATGTCAATCTCCAGAGTGACAGTCACCTAAGCTCCACCCTCTTTAGCATATCAATCATTGTGAAGGTATATCAAGTCTATTGTAAAAAGCAAAGGGGCAGTTTCTTTCATCCATGCCAACTCTGGCATGTCTCCATTTCTTTTCTCCCTTCTTTCTCTAAATAAACTTGGAAAACTATGCTGGCTGCTCTAAAATTCATTTTAGAAACAAGCCAAAGAATCCACGGGTTCTGCACCACACGGCACCCCACCCGGCATCACTTCCACTAAAAATATTGCTGAAAAGCATCTATTCACATGCAAAGATAGTCATAATAAGTAGAAATGCAAGTTACCAAACAAAATAGTTGGTATGATCCTCTTTAAAAATTGTAACTTGCACACACACACACATATATAAACATGTCTAAAAGGATATTATTAGGGTTTAATGTTTACTATGGACTGAACTGTGTCTCTCCAAACTTACATATTGAAGTCTTAGCCCCCTGTGTGGCAGTAAGGAGCTAATTGTGTTTAAATGAGGCCTAGCAATGGGGCCATAATCCAATAGGACTGGTGTTTTTATAAGAAGAGTAAGAAACACCAGGAGCATCAGCATAGAGAAAGGGCCAAATGAGGACCTTGCTAGAAACTAGCTCTGTCAACATCTTCATCTTGGGCTTCCAGCATCCAGATCTGTAAGAAAATATACTTAGTTGTTCAAGTAGTATTTTATTATGGCAGCCAGACCAGACTAGTACAAGACTTACTTTGTTTGTCTATTTTCTAATTTATTTATCTATGTTTAATAATATGGATGTTTTAAGTTTTGAAATAAAATAAATTTCATTTTTAAAAAGTCAAGTAATTAAATCATATTTTTTAAAATAGGAAATAATAAAATGTTTATTAAAGAAAAGAAAAGTCAGGTGCAGTGGCTCACACCTGTAATCCCAGCACTTTGGGAGGTGGAGGTGAGAGGATTACCTGAGTCCAGGGGTTTCAGACCAGCCTAGGCAACTTGGCGAGACCTTGTCGCTACAATAAATAAATTTTTAAAAAATTAGCCAGGTGTGGTGGCGTGGGCCTGTGGTTCCAGCTACTTGGAAGACTGAGGCAAGAAGAATCACCTGAGCTCAGCAGGTCTAGGCTGTGGTGGCCATGAGTGTGCCATTGCACTCCAGCCTGGGCGACAGAGTGAGACTCCTGCTAAAAAAGAAAAGAAAACTGTGTATACATAACTATCCAACTTTTCTTCTTGTAGTGTTTTTCAGAAGATCTCCACACATCCTCACCTCTCCTAACTAGAATTCTTCCTTTCTGCCCAATATCTCTTACCAATTTTATGTGGTTATAATGAGAATCCAATTCTCAAACTATCTGGTAACCCAACAGATATTTATTTTACTAAAACTATAGATTCCACCATATGACAAGTATCATTAATAGATTGATATTATTATACTTGATTAGAACATTTCTTCGACTTCCTCCTTGTCATTGCAGTAGAATTGACCATTAATATGTTTTATTTGCTACTATATAAACTGTATATTATCAGAAATTTACTTGCCTCTGCAAATTAATTCATGATGTATCAGTACATTCCACATCAATAGCATTTTGAACTGCCCCCTCCCAAACAGGCACCTCCAATACAGGATTTAGAGTATGGGGGAGGGGGAGATTTATGAGGGAGGGGGAGATTTATGAGGGAATCTATTGTGTGGCCAGCAATAGATAGCTTAAAAGAGTGTAGTTTGTCTTCCCATGCTCTGTGAGGTACTTCATAGCTATGTCAGCATAAGCAAAGCTCTTCCAATGCCTGGAAAGAAGGAAATGGACATTGGCTTTTTCAAGAGGGCTATGGCTTTCTCAGTAGGCTGGGTTCAAGGGGTCTTCTGGCACTTCTTTAACATCATATATTACCGAATTATTGGCAGAGGTTTTTGTCTAGGTTAAAAGATGGTCAGGCAGGATTAATCTACCACGGTTTAGAAGTACAACCACTGACGCTTACAACCACAGCTATATTTAGGAGAAAGCTAGCCATGGAAAATGCCAATTCTGCCCCTTGCCTGAGCCAATGATTCCAGTGTTTGGAACTTTGACCTGTAGACTGAAGAAAAAAAATAAATATGGAAAGAGACAAAGAAAAAGAGCATGATTGTTAACGGGGTCACAAACTCCTCAGTAAAGGAAAATATTCTATTGACGTATCAGATAGTGTTAGGTCACTCTCCCAGGAGGGGATCTAGAATGTTAGGTCAGACCTACTGGGGGTGTGGGTGTCTGGTCCAATCTGGTGCCGCATGAAGGATGCAGAGCATTGCACAGAAATTAGATTGGAAAATATGGTTTATTTAGAAAGTAAATTAGAGAGAAGAGAGAGGAGAGAGTAAGAGAGATTCACCTCCCCACGATAGAGAAGAGGACCAAAGCTTAGAAAACATGGCCACAGCAGAGTTTAATAAAGCAATGACGAATGGCTGCTCGAGGTTCAATGCTTTTAGTCCTTTCCTTTAATGGAGGAAAGTCATTAAGACGATTGGGTGGTGGTCTGCTCAGTAATCGAGAAGGGGCAGGTAAACACAAGCACTGCATCAGGTGATAGCAGGTAGATGGGTGGGTTAGTCACATGGTTGCTGCCGTGGTGACGGGGGTCTGCCTGTGTCATGAAGGTCACGAAGGGCTGATTAGGTTAACCTAGGTATTATGAGTGGAGGCAAGTATTTGAACTAGAAAAGCTAACTAGGGCCGGGCACAGTGTTCACGCCTATAATCTCAACACTTTGGGAGGCTGAGGTGAGATAACTGCCTGGGCCCGTGGGTTCGAGACTAGCCTACGCAACTCGGTGAAACCCTCATCTCTACTATAAATCAAAAAAAAACTAGCCAGGTGTGGTGGCACGTGCCTATAGTTCCAGCTACCTGGAAGGATCACCTGAGCCCAGCAGGTCTAGGCTGTGGTGGCCGTGAGCATGCCACTGTACTCCAGCCTGGATGACAGCGAGACACTCCAACTCAAAAAAAAAAGAAAGAAAAAAAGAAAAGCTAATTAGTACAAAACAAACTGGGAAGGAGGGTTGTAAAACAATTATTATCCATATTTACTTCCCGGTTCTGTTCTTGGCTAGTGATTAGAGGGTAAGTTAAGTGAACTGCTAAAAAACCATGAGATTTGGACAATGTTAAAATGACTGTTCATTGGGTATATTAAATCTA